GCCCATCGTATTTGTGCACACCCTCCCAGGGAAAAGATGGTAAACCCATTTTATAAACATTGTCACCTCCCAAAAGCCCATCGTATTTGTGCACACCCTCCTAGGGAAAAGCTGGTAAACCCATTTTATAAACCTTTTTCCCCCTCCCAAGGCCCATCGTATTTGTCCACACCCTCCCAGGAAAAAGATGGCAAACCCATTTTATAAATAATTTTCCCTGCCAAGGCCCATCGTATTTGTCCACACCCTCGCAGGAAATAGATGGCAAACCCATTTTATAAATAGTTTTCCCTGCCAAGGCCCATCGTATTTGTCCACACCCTCCAGCTCTTTGGCAGAGGGAATGGTTTATAAAATAGTTTTCCCCTGCCAAGGACTATTAAATCCATTGGCAAACATATCAAAAAATCCAGAAACGTCCGAAATCCGACACAACCCTTTGTGTTTTATAAAATGAGTATCCATCTGCAGCATGATTCTATTCTCTCACATCCTTACTTGTTTATAAAATGAATAACCATGTCCCAGCTGTTTCTATGTTAAAAAAAGAATCACTGTTTATAAAATGTACACAGGAGCCAAACCGACCTTCTTATGAAATAGTTTGCCACAAGAAGTAGGCTTTTTTGTTGAAATTCCGATTTTCGGAAGCACAGTGATCTTTATAAAACGACCCCCCATAAAAGTCATTTTATAGGTTACTAAGATCCCCATTTCATAAGGACCTGTGCAAGGGGTATGGGCATAAGAGTGTTCACATTGACGGTTTCATCATTGCCATCTATGTTCCAGGCACGTTCACTGTTTCGAATCTCGATCGACGGCCAATCGAGCCGTATATGGTTGCAATGCTCTGATCGAGAAACAAGTGGACACCCGATAGGGATCCAGTCGTAACATCTCAGAAGGTGGGTGGGTGGGTGGATGGGTCGCAGCTGACCTTTACCAATAAAAACAAACCTTATTACAGTTACTGCTGTCTTACATCCTTGAAGTCAGCCATGCCAACTTCAGATTTGAAATACCCCAAAACCAAACAAACACCGTCGGTCTCTCCCACGGCGCAGAAGTGCAAGTCCTCAGGGGAGTAAATGGCCCACAGCACTGCCTCTACTGGCTGGTTGGTCGCCAAGAACACCTCACACGAAAGGAGGCCACCACATGCCACCAACACATGCCAACACCAACACCGAAAATCACCGGACATGTTTTAAATAGTTTGTTCCAATGTGCGTGGCGCTTGCGGCAATTTTTTTCTGAGTAGAACAATTGAGACTCTCAGAGATAAAAAATGAGAAACCAACTGAAAGCAACTGCAAATGAGTCAAGAGGTCCAATCATCCAGTCGTCCATCTTCAAGTTCCATGCGAAACGATGAAAGGATTGGAGGTCTGAATCGCAATGGCCGACGCTGGGCCCAAAAAATCATGGAGTGTTTGGGCATGTTAGATTTCATTGATGAGCCCTGAACCAAAAAGGAATGGAACTACGGCAAACGATGTTTGTGTCCTCGTCTTTCCTTTGGAGAATTCAGGAGTCTACAAGCTTCGAGTTCATCTTTGGCAATTCTTGCTATACAGTGGCGCTTGTCTGTTGAAGTTGTTTGGTGTCCGGTCCAACTTACCACCCCAAACCATATTATATAGTTAAAATATGTTTGTTTTCCCTAGAAACCAAGCTATATATAGCTTCAGAACATTCCTTGACTCGGGTCACCTCGATGATTTTCCCAACGGCCCTATAAATAAACGATCTTGTTTTAGAAATGTCGTGTGCAATGCGCGAGGGTGGCAACCGAATTCAGTCTGCATTTGTCGGTCCGTGGTGTTCACAGAAAAGAAATAAGACTTGATGAAAAACAAGAAAAATCAGAAAAAAAGAGAACACACAAAACAAACAAAAAAAATAAACAAATAAATATATGTAACAAAAGGAACATAAAAGAACATATTTAAAAAAAAACAGTAAAATAAAAGGAAAAACATAGATAAGAATAACAGTACAAAAGTATACCAAGAAAATATAGATCCTGGATGGTCCCTGACTCAGTTCCCCGGGTCGCTTTTCCATCATTTTTCTCAGACCAAAGGCCTCGGAGGTGACGAAGATCACGGGGTCGTTCTGCACGGTGGCGTACCACACAGTGCGGCCTTCCTGGTAAGCACGTGGATCGAAGGTCTATAGAAATAAAATGAAATAAACACCTGGAAGCGGGGTTTTGGACCACCAACCACCCAAAATATGGTCAAACTTCGAGGTCAAGTGGATTCCAGGCAGTCCGTGCAGTTGCTTCTTTTCTAACGTTGCTATACGTCATGTCAGCTCGTTTTGCTTCAAGGAACTTCAGCGTTCTCAGACTGAACTGTGCCTACTACCACCAGTTTTCAAACTCAGCCATGGAGCGCCCAAACCCTTGAGCAACCCATGACCCCGGGAGAAAGGAGTAACCCAAAACAACCCATATATCAGGTGCGCAAAAACATGGTTTCACGTCCGTACGGGCCCCCTGTCTTCGTGTGGTGGCGATACACCCACTGATACACTCTATTCCACAGACGTGGATTCACCAATCCTTTGGACCGGCTCTTGCTTTGTGGCGGGATGAATTTCTTCATCCACGACCACAGCCGATCTAGCTGCTGGGTGGCAAAGATCATCTGCCCCGAACCGACGAAACCACGAACCAAACACGCGACTCGACGAAACCACGAACCGACGTCATTTGCCCCCCCCCCCCCCCCCCCCCCCCCTGAATGACTGTTGGAACCCTGTCTACTTCAAAAACGTTGCAAATTCACGGGGGCCCATACGGAAGTGACACTAAAAACATGGCCAATGGGTATGTATGCATTATACCATCAAGTATAGTTGTTGTGCTGTACCTATTCTGGTCGCCCAGCTATACTACATCTTTCATGTTCCTCACACAGATTTTGGAACTTGATGTATCTTGACTCACGATGTGACTGCCTGAAAGAATGAGCCGTAGGTCACTTGCGGAACTTCCTGTTGGTTGCTGTTGTGTTTCATTCTGCCACCTCTTGGTGTCAGTCCAGGGTCCGACCGAAACTAATTGCTCTGTCCCCATCCTCAGCTGTTCCTCCTCAACATCACTAACTGACTCATTCCGAGTCAAAGATCTCTAGAAGGGTAACCAAGCTTTCCAGTGAGCCTTCCCCCATGCAGCCCAGCCCCCCACCCTTCTTCTGGCTGGACCAAAATCGATGGAGTGGAATCTTTGAGGAACTTCGGCCACACTTCAGCCCTCAACCACCAACACCAACCAGCCACCACCTCTTTTCAACACGCTTGGTTCTTCTTCTTCCCCCCCCACAAACCCCCTTTCTCTGGCGTTTTCAGAAAGCCACGTTGGAGACAGCTGCCACGGTGCGGCCGAACACCGCGAGGGGCGCCTCGGCGGCCACCTGTTGAACGCTGATCTCCTGCACCAGCTGCGGCCGACCATCGCGCGAGGCCTCGCCAGCGGGGTGGAGAGAGGCTTCAAAGCAGGAGAGATCGAGAGGTGTGGACGAGGGCAACAGCCCAAGTGTTCTTTGTACAAACAAATGGCCACAATATGAGTGCAACGTAAGCAAGAACTCCAAACGGAACAGGTTTGACTTGCGATGGTTCCATTCAGGGTTCAATGTAGGTCTAGGATGGTCTGTAGGTATACCATTTTTTGTCATGCCATTGGCACGTTCGCCCATTCGTCGGTGATGGTGTCTATCGTCAAAACACCGTTTGTAGGGCACCAATGGTGATCTCTAAAGGGCTGATGCTCCTCAAGAACTTGGTTCTCTTAGGGCTTTTATCACAACCAAGTAGAGAAAACATTGGAAAGTCTCTTAGGTGTTGTAAGGCACCTCGAGAACTGTAAAATCTCTTAGGGCCTTCACTGGCACCAGACATGGGCCTGGAACTATATAACAAAATCATGGGGACTATACAACTGCTTGGGGATGGTTGGGGTTGGGGTCTCTCCGGACTTCGCATCTAGGACAAACATGGTGTATGAATCCGTATGATCGCTTTGCTTCGGGCAGTTCGGGCCACATCCTGGATGAACTGTAGAACATGACCCACATGATCAACTCACTGAGTATAGATCCCGAATTGTGCCGAAACCGCTTTCTGGTAACGCTGTAACTAGCGCGGCATCCGGCTCAACCCACAGGCAGACCACCGCGGAACAACGCGTCACCGCGTCACCGCCCCTTTCGCTCACCGACTCCAGGGCGGTCTCACTGCCTGCCGACAGGCCTTGCTGACCTGCTGAAGCCTGCGTTTCCATCGCCGCGTCGCGTGGCTGACTGCCACGGTGCGGTCGTTCCAGATTCACTCCGTTAGACTGGGGAGAGACATGATGATCCAAACGAGCCAAGTCAATGATCCATTCAGAAGGGGTGAATGAACACATGTCCATATCCTCTTCGTTCTGAAATGCTCACTAAGACTCCTACACATTCCTACACCCTGGAAGAAGATTTAGTTGGTTCATTATTCATCTTCCCAGGTGTACATGGGTGTATACATCCAACAATGACCTCCAGTATGGGAAGAACAACGTTGCAATTTTTGGGGCCCTGCTACCCAGCAATCAGGCTGGCTCCGCATCAGCATCACAGGCGGGCTCCGATGTGTTTAACGCCTCCCTGGACGGCGCATGGAAACACCCTATTGCATCGTACAGTCCATGCCTAGCATCAGTCTCATCCCGGTACTCTTGAAATCGATGCTGGGATATGCTGGGAAAATCACCTAAGTACGTCAAAGAGACTTAGGTGAGCTTGAGAAGATTCATGAACAGTTCCCAAGGATGCGGGCTCCTTCACCAACACATATTTCGCAATTTTCTTGCTAGGAAATTATTCGCCTATAAACAACTTATTTTCGCGAATCTTTCGCGAACTCCATATTTAACTTTTGCCGGGGTATGTCCTCTACAACTCTTCTTGGTTTAATGATACGTTCTACATAGCAGCCTGAGCACTTCCATCTGTTTGTTGTGTTTGTTTTGGACGAACACGCTATCAAGTGTCGTTACGCTCACGTCTTGCTAGGTCTTTCGCTGCTTGGCTTGGGCAGGGGTCCACAAAACAGGCCTTCACATTCGCAAAAAATGTCACGTCATTAGTGGGCTTCTAGGCCCAAAGCGAAACAACAAAAGAGTTACTATACAGCCTATAGGCATTGTGCATCGCAAGTGTGAACTATACAATGTGCAATTTAAAGGCTTGTGAATGTGCCACTGGTTACTGACTGTGCCTAGGACCTAGGACCTAGGAGCCATAGCCAAGCCAAATCACCACTGTGAGTGAGTTTGAAGCCTAAAGACTGCATCGAATTTCAGGAATCCAGGTTCCTCCTGAGTAAAGGAAATAGAACTTTCGCAGATCTTTCCCCGAACAAAAACATGCTCGGAACAAAAATCACGAACAACTTGAAGAGGTTCTCAGTGACATAGGCCTTACGTCGACCTTTCGATCGACTGCCATTTAGGGTTTTGTTGGTTTGGGCGCGATTTCCCCCCTGCGAAGAGGGAAAAGGTCTGACACCTGGAGGGCCTAAGAATTTTTAGGGTTATTGACTCTTGACCATTCAAAATGCCTATAGCTGTCACAGTTGGCCAACTCCCAATAAGTCGGTGGAATCAACCCCCCTCCCACAACGGTAAGCCGCACCGTTTCGACTGATGCTCCGGAGAACTCACCAAGCGAGCAATTTCCACGTTTGTCCTGCAACTGAGTGGAACGAAATCCGTTTTTTTGTGAGATGGAATTCTGTGAGCGGATGTTCCAACAAACTCAGCCTGAGCAACAGTGCTAAAATTCTACGAGCAATCTTGACCGGTTCCACACGGAATGAGTACAAAGTTTGTTCGATATGAAGTGATAACAGAGGTTTTCTTGTTGAGTTTGCCAAACTCGTTCTTGATTTTTCATGCTTACTTTATTCTCAAAACAATTCAAAACCATTGCATCCGCCTGTTCTCGCAGCCATCGGATATTTCACCTTCTCACCCTAAGTATGAAGTCACCTAAAACTATCCCGGCAAGAGACCCCAAACAGTGTGTGTGAGGTCTAGAAGTGTAGTAGCGGAAAGTCTAGAGATCCAGACGCATTGCGGTCCAGAAAGGTGATGGTGGTGATGAAGTTGGAGATCGTGGTGTTGGTGGTGAGTGAGAGTGAGAATGAGAGTGAGAGAGAGAGAGTGAGTGAGAGTGAGAGTGAGAGTGAGAGTGAGAGTGAGAGTGAGAGTTGAGTTGAGTTGAGCGAGTGAGTCAGTCAGTGAGTCACTCAGTGAGTCTCTCAGTGAGTCAGTCAGTCAGTGAGTCAGTCAGTCAGTCAGTCACTCAGTCAGTCAGTCAGTCAGTGAGTCAGTGAGTGAGTGAGTGAGCCAGTCAGCCAGTCGTAGTCAGTCAGTCAGTCAGTCAGTCAGTCAGTCAGTCAGTGAGTCAGTCAGTCAGTCAGTCGGTCAGTCAGTCAGTCAGTCAGTGAGTCAGTGGGTGAGGTGAGGTGGGGTGAGGTGAGGTGCGTTGAATATGGGTGTCGTTCGCTATATTCTGCACAGCGCAACAAGTTGTGTCTTGATGTCGCTCACGTCGTTTTTCATCTGTGACAAAGGCGTTGGAAGCCGTGTCGAGTTTGTCAATGTTTGTCACGTGCAAGTGGCAACCATTGGTTTGAGAAAGTCCGAAAAAGTTTCACCAAGCTTCCATATGTTCCTGGGGCGTTGATTTGGTAAACTCCACGCTTGCTTTGATAGTCTTCTGATACGTGAAATTGTTGCCCATCGGCACGATGTAGCCCACTACCGACTTCTCAGCAACTCCTTGCGCCTCACAACCCAATGCAAGAGCTGCAGCCCGCTCTCACATTTCTGATTGTAGAGCGCTTGCTTTCTTGCTATGTACTGCTCGTTGTTTATGCGTACAGAAGCTGAGTCAATCATGTTTGAGCCCGTCACGACAATTTCGTCAATAGTACAAGCTTTGCCGAGGAATGAGCCTCTCTTCTCACATGTGAAGGTGTGGTCACGCTTCGCCAGTCCCGAGCCTTCGAAGGCCTTTGATTTCATGTTCATTCGTTCGCACATGCGAGAGGCAAAGTTGGCATCTATAGGTGATCGTCTGATCATTCGCGAAAGAAAGATTGGTCCTCAATTCGCCGGCTGTTGTGATCCAATCGGTGTCGTAGACCAATGCAGTAGGGGACCATAGCATGTTTCAAGTCCTTTTTCACGCTGGACCGGATTCAAGAGGACATTTAGATTGCCTTGTGCATCAAGAGACGCAACCAGCTTTTTCAGACAGCGGTCTGGTCATGTTGACTTCCCTGATCCCCTCCGCCATCCCCTCTTTCGTAGAATTTTAAAGAGCGCGACAAAACTCCTCAGGTGTGAAAGGGCCCCGTAACTCTGTCGCTGTTAACTGGATCGAGCGCCTTCGCATTTTTCGCACGTTTCAGTTTCCGACACAAACACAGAAATCTGCCGGCCTGCGGGCGTCTCGTGGATGCGCTTGTACTTGTTCTTGTCTTGTCTAATACTAAAGTTGTTCACCGTTTAGATTGCTCCTCTGCGCGGGTTTTTGGCTTGACTAACTTGACCCCCGTCGTCGTTCTGCACGCGCATTGCCTCTTGGTCCCGTAGAAATCTTTCCCAACCCTTCCGTGAGAGTTGATGCATTCCGTTCCAGCCCAGAATGAAGACGCGAACACGTCTTGGCTTATAGAGCCCAGGGCAGATCGTGGGGTGGCAAGTGAGGTCAAGCACTGGCTCCGCCGCGCCACTAGAAGCCACAAGCGGTTCAGCAGCCGCGCAATCTGCAATGCTGTCGGCCATTTTGGATCAGGAGTCCTGTGCAAACAGCAATCTGGGCAAGCAAACGCCTCGGCTGCATCTTGAACGGTGTTGCAAAGCATGGTCACCAGTTCTGGAGGCGCGAAGCAATGCGCAACTCTGCAGCAAAGGGCTTGCATAGGAACATCCAAGATCGCCAAACCAGAAGAAGAGCAGGATCGCTGCAAAGCAACCAATCTGGGCGCGTTGCCATGGCTAGCTCGGTCTAAGCAATGAGTTCTTCTTCTGTGGCTTGGTAACAAAAATAGCGCGCGAGAGAAGGCATGATGAAACTTGGCTTGCGCACCAGTCACCTTTGCTGCAAGGTGGGGAGACTAGATATAGTTTTAAGGCTATCCTCTAAATCCTTATTCTGCTTTGTTTCTTTCTTCTGATCCTCTTCTCTTCTCCCTTCCGTCTATGGCTGACTTCACGCATTTGTTCTCTTCGCCTGGCAGCCGCGCGTTGAAGACCCACGATTTGCACCAACCACCATGTACACCCAACCACGGTTTACACCAACCATCGTTTACACCAAGCCACCGTTTACACCAACCACCGTTTACAACAAACCAATGTTTACACCAACCACCGTTTACACCAGACCACCGTTTACACCAACCACCGCTTACACCAAACCACGGTTTACAC